GCAGTTTTCCTGAAGCCAGCACTGAAATCAGATCTGCCTCTAACACTGCTGTTGAATTTCCCCATCCATTAGCTGATCCTGAAAGCTCCTGCTGCCATCAAAGAGGACAATGGGGTGAAAAAGCAAGGATGTTTTGTCCTTGTGCTGAAAGAGAAAATACAGGATCCCTCCTGTGGGCTGGCTGGATTCAAGAAAGGGTGCACAGGGTTTGGAGGAGAGTCATTCTGGTGTTTGCATCTGCTGGTGTTTTGGAAAGCAGAACGGAAGGGAGAAGGGCTTTTAGCAGAATAAATAGAAGAGGAAAAGAGCTTGCCAAAGGGATGGGGAAGCTTTTGGCTGGAGGAGCCTGATAACAAAGCTGAATTGGAAGTTCAAATATTGATTTCAAACTCCTAGGAGAAGCAGAGATTTAGAAAGAAATCCTGCTTCAACAAGCCACTTTTAGATCACAGCAAAGTAAACTGTGAACAAGAGAGTCCTTTCCAACACTCCTCTCTCAGAAGGATGCATTCCCAGCTCGTACCTCAAACCAGCCAACAAACCTCTGCTCGGTTTGACCCAGGCAAGATCAGGCAGTGACCTGCTTAGCTCCGTGCCTGCAGCACACAAAGAAAAGAGAAAATGCAATTAAAAGGGGAGAGGACAGGGAGAGTTTAGGCAGGGTCCTGCCCATCCCTGGGGTCAGATGGGCACGGAGTCCATGACACTGATTTCTCCCTTTCCCCATCCTGCTGGCTGCAGCATTCCTGTGCTCTGGGCAGCTGCCAGCACCAACTGCAATTTCCTTACAAGCAAACCTGCCACCAGCACTTTCTTATTTTCTAGGATTTGCTGCCAGACCTACTTTCTAGTCGGGATTTCAGGGATAATACTCTGCATCCTTCTTCCCACGAACATTTTGAAAGGGTTTAGCATGCATTTTCTATCATCAAACTCCCAAAAAACATGCTTGCATCTATGCCTTTCCATTAATTCACCCTTTATTTCTATATTCTTCCCTATTCTCCTTGTGGATATGTGGGAACTGTTTCTGGTAGGGCACAGTACCTTGATTTCTAGCACCCCACCTGTAGCATCTTACAAAGGGTATGAGGTTATCACAAGACAACTTCAGGAGATGGATTTCCTGGCCACTCATTGCTGGTATGTACTCTGTATACGTTTTTGGGAAAGTGATGGCAAAAATGGTTTTCCCCTTGAGACCCAGCTCTGATACCTCCCAACTCATTTCCTAGAAACAGAAGGGATCTGCAGACAATTGTTGCCATGTGGCACAAATCCTTCTCTCTGCCTTTACTCCAGCATCGTGCCACGCCAGCAACACAGCCGATGGCTTGAAGAGCAGCGTTGGCATCCTCCTGGGCTCAGCGCTGGGCAAAGACACCCAAAGATCTTCTCTTTGCCAACACAGAGACTGGGTTCAGCCACAGGAGACCAGGCAATGCCTGGGCCGGTGTCACCCCTTCTGGTCTTGCATGCCAGCCCTGTTCACTGGCATTTCTTTACCATGCTCGTGTCTTGAGAGGACCTGTCTTTAGCCCAGGACCCCAGACCTCTAGCTGACTCTCCCTTCTCCTGCTTTTCTCTGCAGTCATGGACATCTGCTTGCTGCAGAAGGAGGAGGGGACCTGCAGGGACTTTGTGCTGAAGTGGCACTACGACCTGAAGACCAAGAGCTGTGCAAGGTTCTGGTACGGCGGCTGTGGAGGCAACGAGAACAGATTCAACACGCAGAAAGAATGTGAAAAAGCCTGCAGCCCTGGTAAGCACTCAGAAGCAGGCAAAACGTGTTGGGCCAGCAAGGGGGCTGAGGGTGGTATGGGCTTTGTAGCAAGGTCACCCAGCACATGAACCGCTTGCCCTCCCTCAGCATCCCATGCTGTAACTTCACGTGTCTTCCCCTTCTCCACCAAACTTCCTCAGGTAACATCAGCCCTGGCGTGGTGACGACGATAGGAACATAGAGCCAACAACCTGCCAACACATACCTCTGAGACAGCCAGGAGCATCCACCTTTGCCACCTTACCCCAATAGAAGCTAAGGGTATAGACTACCTTGCACTGTACTATTTCATGCTTTTAACTTCCTAAGCAAACCTCAAAGAAAGGTTTTTGCTGCATGACCTATCAATATGGTGCTAAACTGTTTGTGGACTGAGTGCTACGTGTGTCCGGGATATATTGTATAGCTTCAACATTACAAAATATTTACCTGATTGCAGATTGTTATTGTGTCTGAACACGTCTCTAAATTACCCTTTCTTTCCAATTCCGGCAGCCTGCCTATCGAAGGCAGAGTAAAAATTAGCAAAAAAAATAAAAATAAAATAAAAAAATAAAAATCATCATAATAATTTCACTGCAACTGTTACATGCTTGCTTTTATCATTTTCATATCTGAGCATAACTGCACACGGAAAGCCTTTGTGTAAGGGAGTAGCTGATAAACAAGCGGTTCAGTTTTCCATTCTTCCTTTTTGTTGTTTTTTTTTTCTCCTTTTGCTGGATTAGATTTTCAAACTAGATCTCTTGGATGTATTTGTAACATATGTGGCCAACCAAAGGAGCAAGGAAAAGGAAGCAAGGTTTCCAAATGCAAATGCACTGCTGGGACCAAGGCCTCAGTTAATGAATTGTTAAATTGTGGTGTAGAATGTCTCCGGCATTCTTCTCATGTTGTATGTTTTATAAAACACAAAGCAAAGCAATTTGGGGTGAGGTGGGTGGGTGGGAGGGGGAATTTTATTTTTATTGTGGATTCTGTGTCAGGAAGTCTATACAAAGAACTTTTAAATAAAGTCTAATGGAAGTTTTGAGAAACTCATGCTTTTGTCCCTCTGTTTGTAAATGTCGTGATGTGCATCAGGGGAGTGATTTTGGTTTGGAAACTATTTATTTGGAAGGCAATCCCAATGGCCATAAGAGGGGGGATGGTTGTAGTACGGACATCCAAGGGGACATCACTGAGATGCTGATGGTGACCAAGCTTGGGAAAGGTGAAAATTGGGATGACAGTCATGAAATCCCCTGGAGGACGTTGCTCTGAGCAACACGGTCTCAGCTGGCCCTGGTTTGAAAAGTGTTGGACCAGAGAGGCATGGAGGTTCCTTCCATCCTACACAACTTAATGACACCACAGGCATTTTCCAGTGTGTGCTTTGCTGTTGGTGGCCATGACAATTTTAACTCCATCCTTTATTCCTGTCTGTCTTTGAGCTCATTCAAGGCAGCTAAAATTCATCCAAAAAGTCCCCCCAAAAGCATGAAGTAGATGAATAGCCAGGAATACCAGTCAGGCAAAACAACCACCTGTGAAAAGGTGGATCCTCCAAAGCCAGCTGGGTCATTTGAAGTTAATCCAGAAAATAACCATACGGAACTGGGACAAGATGATCTTTAAGGTTTCTTCCAACCCAAACCATTCTATGAATCTATGATTCCATGAAAATCCTTCATGGAGAAAGGCAAGAGAGCCAGCTGACTGCCTTGGCTTCAGCTCCTGATGACTCACAGTGCCATGCCTGTACTCTCTGGTCAGCTTTGGCCCCATTTCCCTGCCCTTTCCCCGCTTGCTCCCTGCAGCTTGCATTGCACTTGCTGCTTCATGCCCTATGCTTTCACTTAAAATTACTGAGCCTGCAATGAGCGTGACACACCCTGTATGGATAATGCAGAAAAAAGGACATCGTGATGCAATTACCAGCTCAGAATTTGCTCTTTCCTCTGCCAGGTCACCCTTTGCTACCACAGCCCAGTGGAGCAATCAGTACTACAAGCTTCTCATAAAATGAGATGCTTCACAAGTTGGAAGAGATCCATAAGGATCATTGAGTCCAACTCCTGCCTCCACACAGTACCTCACAGAGCCAGGCTGGGGTCCTACGTCTTGGTGAGCCTCAGTTCCAAGGGAACTTGGCAATACTCTGCCAAGCAGAGGAGATGAGAAGGCGGCACTTACAAGGCTAAATAGAGCTGGAAAGACAACTTCAGTTCCCTGCTCAATGCTACCTGTGAGTCCAAGAGGCTCATCTTGACGTTCTGGGGAGTGTAGGATTCATGGCAAAGAGAACACATAGGACTGAGGTCTGCCTCAGGCTTTGTCCCCACAAGGATTCCCATTTGTAGGTGCTCCTATGTCATTCTCAGCTCACAGAGCAGCCTAGCTCATGACATTTCCCATCAGTACCACGCTGTTGCTGGGGATGCTGCTTCAGCTGGGCATGAGCTGAGCTCTGGCAGCCATGCTTGGGAAGCTGTGCTGTTTATTTGGCACGCTCCATGAGCACATTGCAAGAGCTCCATTTGAGAACAAGGGAATAGGGAATTGACTTTTTATTGCACTTATTAATATCGTTGTTTCTCATAACGTCTGCACTCAGCTGAAGCTGCCTGGAGGGCAGAGCAGTCTGCCCTGCATTCCAGCATGCACAGGGGCATGCTGAAAGCACCCTTTTTCTCCTTCAGGGTCTATAAGCCTTGCAAACTGGACCCATCCCATGCTCCAACACACTGCCTCCTCCACAGCCTCTCCTTTTAGCTGTGAGCACAGAGGGTTAGGTGGGTTACAACGACTTGTGAATCATCCTTCCCAACCCTCTTTCCCTATCGCTGCTCCCACTGATCCCATGTCACGCAGCCTGGGCTTTCCCAAGGGCAGTGGGCGGCTTGGGGCCCCCATGGCCACTCACCCCTGGGATTGGGCATCACTTTGCTCTCCCGGGCCTTTTAAGGAAGCACGCTACGCCCTGGGCCCCTGGCCAGTGCGGGGTTACACATGGAAGTCATCTGCAGCTGGGAGCACATCTGCCAGCGTGGCTGCAGGACTGGAGCAGGAATAAAAATAGCTCAGCACAGCTTTGCATCCCGACGTGCTCAGCGCAGGCGCGCTGCTAGATGCTGCCCTGCCGGAACGCCGCTGGCCTTCCCCTCCTCTGCTTGTGCTTCCAGGAAGAAACAAAACACTCCTCTAAGCTCTGCGTTTGCTATTTTACTTTACTTACACACTCAATCCTAATACGGGCGTCCTCGCACAAGCTGCCCTTGTTTGTCCTATCTTCTTCCATCCTAGGCGTTGGGAAGGCGTTTGTCCACCCTTCTCCTTTTGTCCCTCTGTCGCAGGGAGATGGTGGAGACATCGACCCTGGAGGTGTTTGAGAAATGTGTAGATATTACACTAAGGGACACGGCTTAGCAGGGAAATAATGGTGGTAGGTGGACAGTGGGACTGGATGATCTTGGAGGTCTTTTCCAACTTTGGTGATTCCATGACTCTATGATCATCCCTCACTTGTGTAGGCGACAGCCAGCTGCAGAGCAAGGTGGGGAGTGCTCACAAAATGGCAGGAGGCTCAGCCCTCCCAGCAGCAGAGCTCAGGGCTGAGCTGTATGCCGTGGGGTAAATGGCAATGAATTGGGACTGTGCTCCAGCTGCAGGGTGATTTATGAGAGTCTTTCCTTCACTTAAACAGAGCAGATCCGAAACAGATGTCTAACCTTTATCTCGATCGCTGCAGAGACGGAGGAGCAGACAGGGGAGAGAGAAAGACATTTGAGTTTCCATTGGCTGCTGCTTCGCTGTCTTCCAAAGTCAGCTCATAAAGAAAAATGAACACCATCAGCCAGGAAACTTTGCTTTGGTGAACTATATGTTTTGTTTTGACGTTGGCTGCTATAGCGACCACGCTGAAATAAAAGTGCAGCCGGCTGTGATGACCTCACTCTGTTACTCCATTAAAATCCCGTATGACAAAGATGCAACCCGGGAAGATTAGTGTCTGAAGATTTGAACACAGGCATGTCTGTCACTCCAGTCTCCTGGAGAGCAGGGCTGAGGAAGGGTAGGTAGAAGAAGCAGGCTCTGGAAGCAGCCCTGTGCTGCGGGTGGATGTGGAATCATAGAGGTGGAAGGGACCCTTAAAGGCCACCTCGTCCACCTCCCCAGCAGTGAACAGGGATACCTACAGCTAGATCAGATTGTTCAGAGCATGGTCCAAGTCGTGAGGATCTCCACTGTAGGAAAGTAAAAGCCAAATACATTATTACTCCTCAAACAGGAAAGGAATAGCTTAAGCATGCAAGTAATCAATGTATATCATACCTCCTATGCATGATATCTTCCAGTTTGAGCACAGCCAGTGAACTGGAGTGGACATACCAATCTGAAAGGCCACAAAGAAGTTCCTGGGGAGGACGGCAAAAATATTTGTCTAGTTTTCCAGAGGTGATTAATTCTGCAGATGGAGAGATTGCGTTGGAGTTTAATGAAAAACAATTAGCACTGCGTTCAATCAACTGGAACTTTGCAGAGGGCATGGAACAGCCTGATTTTCAAATAAGTGGACTGCTGCCACTCTTCAGCATCCCACTGCAGCCCCGCACACTCACAGCTTCTCCCAGCCCTTGGAGCATCCCCATATTTATTGAGGGTTTAATTGCTTACAGTGCAGCAAGCAGAAGTTAAAACAAGGGCCATTTGGAAAGGAACGTTAAAAATGCTTGCTTATTGCGAATTTCTCCTTGGAAATCTGGCAGGTTTTATAGCAGGGGCAATTTCTAAGTAAATGATGATTGATGTTCTGAAAGAGGTATTTTTACAGCAACTCTTTCTCAGGTTATTTCTCTCCCAGGGTGGAAGGGGCAAACAAGACATGGGGGAAAGGCAAAGGGGCAGCTTCAAAAAAGCTCCCCTAGGAGTACCTCTCCTTCGCACCTATACCCGACTTTAGATGTAGAACAGGATGTAAGAGTCTGTAAGGGCCTAAAAGCAGCAAATAACCCAAAGGTTTTACCATGAAAATTCCCTCACCATATCTCTGAGGAGTTTCAGTTTCCTCCATAGTGGTATAACATAGATGAGCAAGGATGCCAGGCATGGTGCTGGCCACAGCTTGGGGATAGGCACTGAGGTTACCCTAGGATGATGAGCTCGACATGGCTCTACCTCCCACTTTTGGTACCTTGCTTCCAACCTGTCCAACACTGCCTCTTTTAATCACTGTCCCATCACTTATAATTTTGTCAACCAGAGCCTTCTCCTTTCCAGGCTGGGCACTCCTGTGCTGTTTGGCTCCTCCACCTGTCGCTCCCAGTTTGAGACCTGTCTTGCTCATTTCGGCACCGTTGGGAAGCAGCATATTGAAAACAGCACCTGGTTTCCACCCCTCTCCCTTCTGCAAAAAGCAGAAAGCAAAAAGAAAAAAAGAAAAAAAAAAAAAAAAAGAAGGCATTTTTTTATGTAGCCCAGAGCCAAGCTCATTGCGAAAGAGCGCACCGTGTTCTGGTCAGCCCCATCCATTGTCCTACAGCTGTGTTCCACCACAGGACTGCTGCTAGTGGTCACGTAAAAACAGGGCTGAGAACATCCCCTCTTGCAAATGTTTTTGACAGCCAGCCCCTGGCAGTGGCACTCGCTCCCACAAGCGGGGCTGATGTTGGAAATCTCTGCTCCCTGTCCCATCGCCAGACTTGGCAAATAAGGTCATGCTGCTAACGCTGCAGGGTGCCATGAGTTTTAAGCTCCTCTGATCCCTGTGCAAAGCCCAAACCATGAGGAGAGGTCAGGGCAATGTGGACCCCAAGGACCACTCTACATTCAGAGACGGGTGTAGGTGGGAAGAGCGCTGCTCCCATGTATGTGGACAGGAAAAGATGAGCAGAAAGGATTTGCTTCTGCAAAAAAACCCATCTCCTGAGCTGCTCCCTCTCAGACTCAGCTAACTACGTGTCCGTCTGCACCAGCAATCCCAGGAATTTCCACTGCACCCTGCTCAGGAAATCTCTGCATTTTTTAGAAGACGTGCCTATGGAGGGACACCAATTGCTCTGCGAGTGTATGAGCGCTGGGAAAGGGAGAGCCCAGAAAAAAAGAAGAAAAAAAAAAAGAAAAATAGAAAAAAAAACAACATCCCAAGCAACAAGGCTGGTTGGAAAAAGTAGTCAGGAGTTTGAAGCGCATCCAGACCACTGCTCTGGAAATCAGGCTGAAAAATCTTGTGACATCAGGCTTTCTGCAGAGATGGCTGCTATTTCCCAGCTGGAAAGCCCTGGGAATGTCACCAGCAGCCCACAGAGCTGGGAAGATAAGACCACCGTACCAAACAGCATCAAGGTAAACTGCAGCAGTGCAGCCTGTAGGGCATGAAATGCAAACAGCACTCCATCAGTCATTTGCACCAAGACTTCCAAGCTTTCCCAGCACTTTGGGACAGCACAGGGGGGTTGCTTTTTTGGAGGTATTGTAGAATTATTCAGATTGGAAAAGTCCTCTAAGATCACCCAGTCCAACCCCAGCCCTCCCCTCCATGCCCACGTCCCTCAGTGCCACATCCCCAGTGTTATGGAACACCTGCAGGGATGGCGACCCCAGCACACTTCCTAGGCAGCTGTGCCACTGTAGCACTGCTTCTTCTGAGAAGAAACGTTTCCTATCCATGTGAGAGATCTGGAGTTTGGCATTTCCTGCAAGAGAGAGGTGCTAGCAAGACGAAATGGTTGCAGCAAGCAGTAAATTGTCTGTCACTGGGATGTTATAGGAAGGCAATATGAAAATCAAAGCCCCACTGATACTTTCAAGTGCTGGAAAGCCACTCGTAAATGCCTTTAGATACCTATGCCAAGGAAGACACAGCAATCCAAGACTTGTCATTGATCACATCCCCCAGGAATGACAACAAATCTGGGGAGCTGTCAACAGAGAAAAGAGAAATTTAAGATTTAAATGTAAAAGAAAGGTTGTCAAGCCCGCTGAGCAGCTGGCCTCAAGGGATGATGGATACAGCATGGATGTGACTGATGGCAGCCAAGAGAGCAGTAAGCCTGGATCCCAAAGTTTGTCCAATTGTTGCGTACGTAGAAGCATAGAATTGAGTTAAATGGAGCCTAAAGGTCATCCAGTCCAGCTCCTCTGCAATGAACAGAGACATCTGCAGCTGGATCAGGGTGCTTAGACCCCCAAACAATCTGACCTTGAATGTCTCCAGGGATGGGGCATCCACCACCTCTCTGGGTGGTGAAGCACTGTGCCAGGTGCTTCAAGACTCTTATAATAAAAAAACTTCCTTATATCAAACACAAATTTCCACTCTTTCAGTTTGAATCCATTTCCCCTTGTCCTATCACAAGAGACCCTGCTAAAGCATCTGTCCCCTTCCTCCTTGTAGCCCCCCTTTAGATACTGAAAGGCTGCTCTCAGGTCTCCTTGGTGCCTTCTCTTCCCCAGTCTGAACAACCACAGCTTTCTCAGTATCCCATCCCCTGTGAGCTGTATAGTTCTTCATTATTAGTATTATTTGCTTGCTGAGCTTGATCTTCTATTTATTTTCTTGTTGTTGAAGAGAAGGTGCTTGCTAAGGGCCATTTGTTTGCAAAGGGACATTTGCTCACAAAGCCAACAGACAGCCTACAGCTGAGCGTGCCCGCAAAGCAGACTCCGCACACTAGAGCCGTCTGGAGTCCCCCAGGCTCCCCCCAGCACCATCCCACCCACCCACCACTGGTTCCAGCCCCACGTGGCTGCCCCAACAGCCCCAGCATCCCCAGGCTGAGCCCCAGCCGGCGTCGCGCTGCCTCCCCCGCAGATCCGGGACCCGGCAGCGAGCAGCCTTAGCTCATCGCTGGGGCACAGCCAGCCTGCAGTGGGAGGGAAGAGAAGGGAAAGGCAGCACGGCGGATAGGAGGGCTGGAAAGGGGGGAAAAGAAGGAAGAGAGAAGCTTGAGAACAACTCTGGATGAGGCTACAGTGACTTAGGGAAAGGACAGATTGGGGATGGGGGGAGAAACCACGAGGTAGGGTAGCAAAACAGCCTGCCAGAAAACTTGCCCAGAAACTGAAGGAAAAATCACTGTTGCTTCAGTTCAGACAAGCCCTGCTGAATCATACAATGTGCTTCGAACCCTGCATGAGTTTAATGTTTGTAGGTGTAGATACAGAGCCAAAGGTCCCCCTTTGGGATTTCAAGCATCTCTTTGCTAATTGTGAGGTTTGCAGGAGGACACAACTGCAGCACACACTCAGAGAGCAAGGGATGAAAATAAATAGCACACTACTTGTAGGAGAAATTGGAGGAAACTACACACAGCAAACTGCAGGCGTATTGGAAATAAAGGAGAACTTAGCCAACAGAGCCAACAGGTTTAACACTATTGTGATCCATGCTGGGGCTCACGCAGAATTTGGGATATGGATATGGGAATGGGAATATGGGAATGGAGACATTCACCATGTGGTCAGTGTTAGAGACATTCAAGGCCAGGCTAGACAGGGCTCCGAGCACCTGATGGAGCTGAGATGCCCCTGTTCATTGCAGGGGAGTTGGACCAGACGGCCTTTAAAGATCCATTCCAACTCAAGTGATCCTATGGAACCCTGCAGAGAGCACAGTATTCCTCATCTGGATGCAGAATAGGTCACTGGTAAGGTCTCTTACCAGTGGGTCTCTTAACCACCCCCTGGGAACAGCCAAGACATCTATGGGACAGGACTATATTTGTCCTTGTGGGAGACAGCTCATGTAGAAGAGGTGGGGTGCGTGGCCAGATCCAGGAAACCATGCAGGTAGTATCAGTGATGCTAGCATGGGATGACCAAGAAAATCAAACCCTTGTGTGCAGGTGGCCAGCCCACCTGCACTGCAGTTTCTGGAACTGCTTTTATAATGAGGCAGCATGGGTAAGGGGCTCTCCCTCCTGATAGCTTGCTGGAAGGTTCTGAGGTGAACCAAACCCTGCTCATCTTCTGTAAATGTGGGAAAAGCAAGCGAGGCTCAGGCACACTTCAAGCTGTTTCTCATTAGCGTGGGAACCAGAGACATGCTGCAGAGATGCTCCTCAAAACGGGGCACTCAGCCCCTCTGGTACAGGAATGCAGAGCTAGTTCTCTGCCCTTCTTCACCAGAGACCCTTTCTATTCCTCAACACAGCCAAAGGGTCCGGCAGGGAATCCCAAACATTGCAGCTCATCACCCATGTCGGAGGTGAAACTCCGCTTCCCAGGCACCTCATCACCAGCACTGCCGGATCCTGCTGGGGCCAGGAGCAGCCAAACCCTGCAAGGTCAGGGCAGGACATCCACGAGAAGGGCCGGGAGTGTGGAAACACAGGGCAGGGAGTGGAGCCGATGCACTTTGGAAGAGCTGAGGAATGAGAAGCATGATGTGAGAGCAGAGCCAGCAAGTGGGGAAAGAGACGGGCGCCCAAGCTATCGGCCTGTTTGCAATCAGTGCAGGGATGGTAGCAGCCCGGCCGCCAGGGACACGTAAAGCAATTTGAAAAGCTGCTGGAAATGGGCTGCAGGCAGACTTTACAGTTCCAACACATATTTCCTATTAAAAACACAAACCTAATCCTCGTAACAAGGAGCACCAGGTGGTGTGGCCCAGGGAAGCGTCACCTTTCCGCTCTCACATGAATTTAAGAACAGCTTATCCCACCTCAATATCAAGGACAAACTCCAACAAAGAGTAAGGCTGGTTTGCTTTCAGCCTGGAAGGGAGGAGAAACTCCTGTGCCCATGTTCGTGTGGTGTTTCAGGAGGTGGGTCCCAGGCTGGGTGGAAAATAGCAGCAAGACCCATTCAGATGCAGTGGGGGAGATTTGGGTTTGGTGAGGTCTCTGCCTTAGGAGAGCCAAGAAGCACGCTTGGGAGAAATTGAGGCTGAACACCTCTTAAACCTCCTGCAGCCCAACAAGAAGAATCATGACAGCTGGAAAATCCCTCCAGCTCCAATCACAGCCAATGCTGTGTGAGTCAGATACAGTCTGAGCTTTGGGGTCCAGAAGGACAAAGGTCATCCCTGGAGGCATTCAAGGCCAGGCTGGATGCGGCTCTGGACAGCCTGGTCTAGTGGCTGGCTACCTTGCACATAGAAGGGGGCTTGAAACTAGATGGTCTTTGAGGTCCTTTTCAACCTAGGCCATTCCATGATTCTATGATTCATCTGGTGATGGTCACCAGTGGTCCTCATCCTCCTGTCCAGAGAGGATCTGGTTGTTGGCAAGGAGCAGAAGAGAGCTAAAATGTTTGTTTTAGATGGGATCTAGCATGCCACACGCAACTTTCACCAATGCAACTGACTGTGCAAAGCTGGAAGCTTTGTATTCTATTTTTCTTTTGTCTATACAGTGGTGTTTTGGCAATGGTTGACTGGCTTACAGAGACCTTGGAGGCTAACAAGGCAGCATTTAAACCCCATCACGGTCAATCAAAATGGATTCCAACTACAGTGGGATGGTTTTGAGCACAGGCCAGCAAGGATCTGCTGAATCAGAGTGGGATGGGTGGGAAGAGGAGGAACAACTCTGTTTTCAAATGGAAAATATTTTAAGACCCCTTCTGAGGCCAACTGCACAAAGTCTCACTGCATCCTTGCAGGGCTACCAGCTGCCAGAACAGCTTTCAGGTGTGCAAACAATGGGAAATCTCCCCTATGGGACTCCGATGAAGCCCCAGAGGGATTCAGCTCCACCATAAATCACGAGGGGCCCTCCCTGCCTGCACCCTACTGACATGCTAGGGATGCACCTTTTCCAGGGCAGCCTCCAGCTCACATGATCTATTCTTTGGAAGGACACAAAATAAACCACGTTACCTGGACTTTCTCCTCCTCCGAGGGATTTGATCCAGCGGTTTTCCTGGCCGCAAGCTGCTTTCAGGAAGCTGCTTGTAACACTGGCACGGGGTCATTCTTCCTTCTGCTTTTCCTCATTGCGTGCTTGCTGCATCCCCGCTGCTGGATATATAATATATATATATTAAACTCTTTATATAATAAACAATATATCCATATTTGTATTTATATACATAATATAACAGCCCCCTCAGCCCGCGGATGTGTTATTTTCCAGAAACTCAACTGATCCCAGGCAGAACTTCTATTAATTTCCTCCATCCAGTTATCAGCTTTTTCCCTTACTTCATGTACACCAGACTCTGCAGGAAGCTTTCCCATACCATGAGGTTGTTCATGTTTCACAGAAGTGCCAAACACCTTCTTGCAACAGAGACCGCCTGCCTGCGCTTACAGAAAGCCAAGCACTGTCAAGTCAGACTTTAGTCATTGCTGCAGACACGTGGGGTGACGTATAATGTTAATTAAGGGAAATCTAAGTCATGTTTCTGTACCTTTTCAACACAGCACACTTCAGACCCCCTGGGGTCCTGCTTTCCTTGGTAGATAAGGAAACACATGGCCAGACATGAGCACAGACAGGGTTTCATTTCTGCTCTAATGAATTTTGCTAAAATTGTCACTGCCATCAAACCTTTGGTCACATATTAACAAAGCCCTGGGCATGCATCCCATGCTCCTCGGGCTGCACATGTGGATGCTACATGTTGTCCACGTGGAACACAGAAGAGAGATGCCCCAGGCTTTGCTTTGGCTTTCTCCCCTCTGATTTCCTGGGGACCCTGGGAGCTTTGCAACGGGGAGAGATGCAGTGAGGCCTTTTGCTTTCCTCCCAGCAGCACAAGGTTGACTCCCGGGCTGAAAACGTGTCCTCAAAAGCTTGGTCATTTGGCTGTTTTCCCTTTCATTTTTCAGCAGAAAGACTCGGGTGATATTTCACAGCAAATAAAAGCCAGGCATGAGAGCCTGACTTTCCTGGCGGCCGAAGGGCGCGGAGCTGGCTGGTAGCCCCATGCTGCTGGGATGCACTGGAAAAATCTTCCCTGCATGAAGGGAACCAGTTCAGAGCTGGAAACCAGAATTCTCCAGCCCCTACACCTCAGGACAGGAGAAAATAAGATTTTGTATGATAAAGCTTAAATAAGGAAGGAAAAAACTAGTGAAAGCCTGCATACACCACACAACGTGGTGGCTGTGATTTTGCTGAAGAGCCCTTTTTGCAAAGGCACATGGAGATCTGCGATCATCCATCCTTCCTAAGTGAAAACCTGCCCTCAGGCTGAACCTGCTGTCTCCCAGGGAGGAAAGAAAGCTCTCTGAGTGATGAACTGGCATGTGGACAGAAGGCAATAACATGGATGTGGTTGGGAAGTGGAGAGACCTGTGCCCCTGGGAGCAGCTGGGTTTCCTCCAGCTCCTACAGTGTACATGTTTGGGCAGGAACATGGCGTGCTGGGGGCATAAGGGGATGCAAAAGGTTAAACCACAACCTAAACTGATTGTTCTTTATAGAATCATAGCGCTATAGAATGGTTTAGGGCAAAAGGAATTCCAAAGCTCACCAGTGCCAACCGCTGCCATGGACGGGGACATCTCCCACACCAGCAGGCTGCCCAAAATCACCCAGCCCAGCCTATAGAGGTGCTCTGGGAGAACCCCCAGCCTCAGGGAGGTGGGGGGACATGTGATCAGCCTGGCCAGCTAACTGCATGCTGAGTATTTCTGTTGCTTCAAGCTGTGGCTGCTCCCTCTCCCAGTCTGAGCCTGGCAGCAGACCAGGGAACAACGTTAGCAAAGGAAAAGATTCAATTATTTAATTCAGTTCCTTAACGTTCTGAAAATGAACACAGATTGCCAAATCAAACACTGGCACAAATAGGAGGGAAAAAGTTAGGTGTGCTTTTGCTGGCTGTAAGCCTCCCCCTGGAGACGCCTTTCATTTAGGGCTGTTATCAGTTTGTTTCATCAAATGAATGTGATAACAAGGTACTCACGTGCTTTTTGGATTTGCTTCCCTGTTTGTGCCGGATGGGTGACAGAGGATTGGTCTTCTTGTGCTCAGGGAGGACAAAAGGAGAAGGCAAAGAGCAGAAAGCAAGATGTCCAAGTCCAGGCTGACCTCAGCACACAGCTGGCCAAGGCACCACCCGTGATGCTCTGTGTCCAAAACTCAAATTATCCACCCTCCACGTGGCTCTGCACCTCCGCTTGGACCCACATGGTCTAAGAAGAGAAGGAAAAAAAAAAGTACAAGAAGAAACTTGTTCTTCCATTTACATTCTTACATTTTTACAAGAAACTTCCAGTCTTACAAGCTGATGCTTGCTGTTATGTGCTCATGCATATGGGCATCCAGTGCACAGCAGGGTAAGGGGACCAAGGCAAGCCGTCTTCCATCCACGTAGTAGAGAGAAAGTCATCCAGCAAGGCAGGGCTTGTGGGGTGACACGGGTTTTCTGTATTGCCATTTGGGACCTGTTTGAATTAAGACACAATAAGGCCGTGTGTGATCCCTCACCAGCCCAGTTTATCCTTTCTTTTTGCAAAGCTTGGAGCTTTCCCCAGCATTTGCTATGGCCTGAGCAGAGCTCAGCTGGAGCCAAGCCTCTGGATGAAGCAGAGGTGTGAACTGGTTGAATGTGGAAACCCAAGGGATGGCAATTTCACAAACCTTTCATTTGTTTGTAGGAAAACATGAAGAAAAGGCAGAGAGCAGAGATAACAGGCGGCAAGCCAGAGCCCAGTGCTGCTAGCATGCACCACACGTTCCTCTGGACGTCTCAAAAGCAATTTGGAAGAGCTCAGTCCTAGAAAAGCCACCAGCATGTTACCTGCAAGCAGAGACATGCAATGCATATTCTGTAGGTTTGCAGCTGAACCGTGTCCATCACAGAGGTGCAAGTACTGATGTTGAGTGATGGACTGGGAGCAAAGTGATCTCTTTGCTCCACCAGTGTTTAGCATGTGGGTTTCTGTATCAGCTCTCAGTGCCCCAGTACTGCCCCACAAATTGTGACTCCACTTTCTCAGAGTAGGAAGGAAAAGGAAACCTCATAACAAGGGTGAAGTGATGCCCAAGGCCTCACTGGGGGAAGCACAATGATGAAACGAGCTTCACCAACAGCTTTGGAGCATGCCCTTGTTAACTACTGAAGACAACCACTGCCAGTGCTTCTAGTGAGCAACAACATTCTGAAAAATGCATGTAACTGCTCTATTTTTAAAACATGTATATATGATGGTAACTACATGTTGAATCTTCAGCTCAAATTTTGAAGCCATCACAGTGCAAGCCCTCCTATTTTCTATTCTGAAAGCCACGCTGCTACTTCTGTCCAGTACCAGAAAGTGCTGGCTGTTTTCTGTGCCTGCTGAGAAGCAATGGCACTTGCCTGAATTTTGCCTTAATTTACTCCTCTTCATCTACAGCTTGATGTGTAAGAAGCTGTAAATCTCTCTTTTCAGATGTAACTCTTCAGCATTTTCTTCACTCTCCGAACCTCTCACATGATTGTGCTGGCACTAACGCCAGAAAAGTTTAGTCATGGCTTCTGTCCCTCCTGTGCCAAGGAAGGGAGAAACGAAAACAACCAAATCCAAAGCTAGCTGATGGGCTACAACCCAGCTCAGAGCTAATAAGCTAGAGAGGTACAGAAAAAGGGGGAATTTGCCCCAGGCAAGGTATCTACCAAGTGGGAATTTCTCCGTAAATGAAAGAAACATCCAGTTCCATAAAACTTAAGATTTGAGCAAATAGAAGAAACTCATAAGGTGATCCCAAGGATCACTGAGGCAGATTCCAGACCTGCATCCTTTAGTAAAGCTGGGCAGCTTCATTATCTTAGTGACCATCATGGTTTTCACTCTTAATTTTCCTATTCTTGAAAGAAAAGAAGAAGAAAGCAAAGCAAAAGCGAATCCCATCAGATGCCTCTCTTGTTTTTAAAGCAGAAATTCTGTTTTGGCTGCTGACACCATTTGAACCACTTTCTGCTGCAGTGCTGGAATGAAGTCTGCCATGGAGCAGATGAAATTTGGGCCTCTCACCAACTGAATCTCACTCTTCTGCCAGCCAACTCCATGCCCAGCTTGGCTGGGGCTCTGTGCTGGAAGACACGTCTGCAAATGCTCATGAATAGAGCATGAACCAGGGCAAGACTTCATCTGTTTTTACTGCAGAAGAACTACCTTGGCTTTATGCAACATATGTGCATCTACCTGCACCTACAGACACAACCATGTATTAATCCATAGGCTAACCTCCATAACCAGAGTGAGATCTGAATGATGACTCCACTGATTTTTCTTCTGGAGCAAATTTCCCTGTTTATGATCCTTGAACTTAAAATAAGTGGAACAATAATGTCAAAGCAGCCACGTGCTTCCTGTTTATCCTGCCATCCCTGCCTCTGCTCTTCTAGCAGCAGCCTGACCTGGAACTGAGCACAGGAAAACATGCAAAAGTAATTGGGCCATGAGAAATAGCTCATCCTCATTCATTCTCCATTTGATCTTCATGCATACCTTTTTCATGGCAGCCAAATAAGTCTTTCCAAATGAGCTTTCCAAGGCTTTCTCAAAACAGCAGAAGACAGAGATACCAAGGCTCTTCAGAACCAGAGCTTGAAAAAAGCATTTTCCATGTCCACAAAAAAAGGCTGAAGCAGCATCTAAGAAGCCACCCAGTTTTCTGCATTTTATGGCAACTAAGGCTACTCTGCATGATCACTCAGACAAGCAAATCTGGATTACATCTGTATGTGCTCAGATTTGCTTGTATTTTACTTTAATTTTCAGGGCAGGAGTAAATGAGGACTGCACCATGCAAAGGGTGGAGCTCACCGACTGGCTAACCTTGCTCTGGTTCAGTTGCACAGCTGTGCCTCACAACCCAGTGGGTCCCAATTAAGCCAAGACAACAGGTGGTCACGGTCAGACACCATCAGGGAACTTTTGGGAAGAAAATGCATGGCACAGAGAAACTTCGGAAGAAATGAAGAGCTGGGCAAAGAAAAAATGGCAGCATGAATGTGGAGAAAAGTAAAGCATAAAATAAGAGCGTGATCAAGAACTTAAAACTATGGGGAACATCACAATTCTAGCCCTTAAGTAGATACAAATGCTTAGATACAGTGGAATAAACATCTGGACAAATGTCATTCACAGGCTGTGGCAAAGACAGAGACTGAAAGATTGACAGATAGCTGCAGGCAAGACATTCTGCCTGACTCTGTGTAGGCCAGGTTGCCCAAACCTCAGGGCAGGGCTAAAAATGATGAAAGTGCTTTCAACTAAAACCCAAAAAGACCTGCAATCTTTAGATCTGCAGCAGAGAGAGAGGTTAGTTGCTCTGATCTTGTTGGACCAAACCATGGTGAAAAGTCCAACAATGGATTTGCAGAGATGGACACATGCCTGTCCTTCACAACTGAAGTCTACAGTACGCTGCAAGACTGTGCACATAAACTGCTACTGTAGGACTTCCCAAGCTCCCAGTTTTGCCTGCTGTACTGAACAACCCCCAAACACTCGTTAAGTTATAGAGGGCACCAGAGCATCACGAGCAGGGAAAGTAACGGCTGTGTGAGGTTGTATGCCAGAAACCACTAGCTTCTTCAAAAGAAAGGCATACTACTTAGGGTGGAGGCTATTAGCTGCCAGTTGCAGCTAAAATAATGGTATTCTCTGAAGTGCAAAGTTCTGTGCTACTTGTCAGGAGATCTATGGCAAACACTGCTTTCTTGCTTCCCTTGCACCATGCAGGCCAGCAGTGGCAAGGGATGCGCTGCCGTCACCGCCGTCCGCTTGCTGATTTTGCCCCCGAGAGCAGTCCTTTGCCAGGAAAAACATTGGGATATTTCCATTTTAGGAAGTGAGCTGTTATTTCACTTTTTTGGCCAACCATCGATTTACGCAATTTGATACTGGTAAGGGACTGAACCCTTTCACAACACTTTCTACTGTTCACAGGGCTTTTAATTATCAGCAGATCTCCCGGTCTCCTTTGCACTCGGTGATTTCTGTTAAGAGGCCAGCTTCTCAAAATAGCTGAAATGCTGGTGGATGTGTGGATCTGAACAGAATATGTTGAGGCATGACTCCAGGAGCTCCTCCTCCAACTATGCAATGACTTCTAAGTCTTGTAGACTTGTAATCAACGGTAGAAGTAAAGCTAAGATGTGTTAGTTTTACTTCTATCACTGATTCCCATTATATTGCTACTTGCTAGCTACCTGAAAGTTCTGAGACAGATTATGTCCTTTCCCTTGGCCTGATCAAAGACACAGCAAGGTATGTTTCTTGTATCTGGAATAACTAAATCAGGCATAGGAAGGGGAAAGAAGAAAAGAGAGGCCACACAGATCCTTCACATTTGTCTCACAACCACACTTGTGAGCATCTATCCTGTAGTAACCATTCAACTCATGCCTAAATAAAACACTTATGAGCATCTACCCTGTAGTAGCCATTCAACTCTTGCCTAAATAAAACAAGCTATCAAGTACAAATCCAGTTCTTCTCACTCAGTTCTTGATTCTACCTCTACTGCAAGTCTGGATCTCAGAACAGCACAGGAAGCTCATCAAAACGCCATAATTACTTGTTCCCAAATTGAGGTGTTTTCAAAACCACCTTTCCCTTTCTATTGCCTATAAGTACAAGCAAGTCGGGAAGAAGATATAAATCCTTGGGAGAAAAACTGCACTTTGGATGAGCCATTTTTCAAGGCTGTTCCAGAGAAATGAAACCTCGGACTGAACTGCTGTGGTTCAGGTCATAGCAAGATACATCTTAACCCTGCAATTAAATACACACCAAAAATCATTCAGAAAGTCTCTGGAAAAACCAGAGAGAAAGTCTACATTTCTTGAACATCTTGAATAAGTCCTTCTCAACCAGTTTTACTTCCCTTGGAGTCAGCTGCTCTCAGTGTTACTGCTTCTGCAGTGGTTAGCTTTTGGCTATCTCCACTGAATTCAAGAATTTCCAAAGCAGAACCACGAAGCAATGAGCAGAACACTAACAGATTTCTATCTGAACACAAAAATCACTCAAATTCCAAGAAATGCTATTCTACACACATGACTAATGCTACATTTTATCACTTTTCTCTTATTTTTTTTTTTTCTTTTCAAACTGCTTTGTTTCTTTGCCTCCAATCAAGCTCCTGCCTCTGAAGACAATGGAAAGAATGGTTGCTGGAGGAAAACCTGCATGGGGACAAGTTGTCTGAGCACTCACAGAAATCTACAACACATACAAATGCATGCATACATGCAGAAAATAAAAGAAACATGATGCCATTTGGCTACCTTTCTAGATTTCCCTTCTTCGCTGAAGATCAGAGCTGGCCGAAAGGGTCAAGGTAAAAGTTGCTTTTGAAGAGGTACAAATAGAAAGGCAGGCACAAATAGTGGTTCAGGAATAATTTTCTTCATAGATGGAGTGAACAATTCTTGCAAATAGA